TTTTATATTTGATTTAATAATTTAGTAAAATATTATTAAAATCAAATTCATATAAATGCAACTAATATTAATAATTGTAATTTAAGCAGTAAATTCATTAACCAAATCGTGTAAATTCTATGCTTAAATTATGTAATTTCTGTGATCAAATCAATATAAATTCGGCATAAATTATGGTCAAATCATGCAAAATGATACATTTTTGTGATATGGAATTGTGCATTTTTCCGTATCCCTATATAGATTAGAAACATTATTTTTAAGAAAAAATTGTATAAAACCTTATTAAAAACATGATTTTTTATAGGTTTAATTATAATAAAATTTTATTATTTGGTAATATTTTACATACAATTCAATTTATTTATATCAAAAAATTTTTTTAATTATAAATGTTATGTTTGGGGGACGAAGTCCCCTGGCAAATCGCATATTCTAGTTCAATAAATAAATTAAAAAATTAAACAACCTATTTTAATAATTTATTAAAAATTTTATTTTTTTTTCTTCAAAATTTAAGGATATCATAAAAATGATTCTAGCTTCTTTTATGCTCAGGGAGGGTATGAAGAATTAGTATTATCACGTGGCGCAGTTATTTAAATAGTTTCCGAATTTATATTCTTTTTTTCTGCGATTATTATATAAAATACATGAAGCTATCACATTATGACAAAGTTGGGATTCATTTATAGCAGTGAAGTAAAGTTTGAAAAATATTTTTCTAATTACCGTATTACCAAAAAAAATAAATAAATAAAATTATGAATAACACTACAGACGTCACTACTTACTTTTGAAAATGCCTCGCATACAGTATCGTACATTATATAACGACCTATTATGCAAGAGTGAATTATCTGATTCAATTATAAGGCTGTATTTCATTATTATTATCAATTCCGTTTTACAAATTAATTATGCTTTGCGTCTTTAATATATATTAGTTAACATGTATCATTATTGCTTTTTTGTTACTATTACATTTGATATGTTATATATTTTGATCAATTTTATTTATTAAACATAGTATGAGTAATAAAAACAAATTAAAATGTTAACAAGTTTAAACAAATAAAATAAAAATTCATTAAAATATAAAATAAAAGTAAATAACAAAAATAAAATTCTCTAAAAATTTAATTTAACAAAAAATATAATATCCGAAATATTGTAAACTCTAATAATTAACCGGTAATAGCACCATAAGAACAACCCACAAAAGCTTTATTTTCGTCTATAACTACAATCGAAATAGAGTATGTTGCAGGTAAACTAGCATCTACTGGAAACGTTGTTGTTACGCTGAGAGATGTAGTTGGACACGTGACTCCAGAAGAACAAATATCGACAGAAGCTAGCGAGCTAATTACATTGTGAGCACCATCTAAAGCTACGGCAACCAATGTAGCACCTGGGTTAATACCACTATCTATGGTTCCGGTAGCAGTAACAGTACAATTTTGTCCAGGAACGGGAGGATCAGGTTGAAGCGTTACAGTAAGTATAGGCAGAGATCCTTCAGGACATGGACCAAACGTAGTAGCTCTTTTATCGAGTTGATAGTATGGAATAGCATTGACCATTGAAAGCGTGACTAATAAAATGACAACAAAAATGAGATTTTGTTTCATGATTTCTTTGATGAATGTAATTGTTGTTGGGTGATTTTTAAGATATTAGTGATATTAGTTGAGATAAATTGATTGTAATTTGTAATTACTCGTTATCAGAGTGAGTTGAAATCTCTGCTTTTTTATAAGAAAAAAAAAAATAAAAGATCGTGAACCATCTTTCTCTTATCTTCTCTTTTTAAAAATTTCATTGACGCAAGAAATCTTTCGGGAACGCCATGTATAACGCGCAATAAATGAATATGCAAGAAAAAAAAATGAATGATATTCCTTGATGTACTATTTAATAACGTATGTACAAGGTCAAATATTATCAAGGCGCTTGATAGATATAACATGAAAAATTTTTAATTTCCACAATACTTAATATTGTATGAACTTAAAAAAAAATAAATCGTAATATGCAGAAAATGGTTGGATCATTTAAGATAATTCCGACTTCTCCGATTTAAAAAAATTGCTTTCCAGTGTACAAAGAAAAAAAATGCAGGTTTACTCTATGGTTCCGCAAAATTTTGATTGAACCATCGGAAATTTTTTATTTGTTGCAGCTTTTTGACATTTATGACTAATTCAATCAAAAAATTGGAATATTATGTTATGCATGTAAGATATCTTATGCGTTGATTTTTTTTTTCTTTTAAGAAAAAAGAATAAAGGCGCTCTTGCCACTATAATAAAAAACGCCTCATTATATCAAAAGTGTCTTATCCATATGCAGTACAATTAGAGAACTTTCTCAAAAGAATTTATTCTAGATATAGTATCTTTTTAAATCAATTTTTGGAAGTATGTTTATTTATTTATTTATTTTATTTTATTACTAAAAGAGTGTTAAAACCCAGGCTATTACAAATAGAAGAAAAAAAGAATTCGAAAATACTTAAAGCTAATATATGTGTATAGACCTTTGTTCGTCATCCCCTACGGGACCCCACTCTTCGATCTATACTCTTTGATAAAGTAGGACTACGCTAAAATATCAAATGGGAACCATAAAAAAAACCATCCGAGAGACTAGCGGCTATCTAAAAAAAGAAAATTAAAGGGCGGCTAATATAGTCTAACTTTATCTACAGTATGTGGTGAGCGAAGAGGTTATATGGTGTAATAAAACAAATTATGATCAAAAGTAATAGAATCTATAAAAGTAATTGATAAAGATTTAATCCATGGTATATTATGGCGAAAATTACTACTAGTTAAATATATCCAAAATATAGAATCATCAAGACTTCTAATAGAAGTCATGAATGGATTAGTATATCCAATATTCATGATATTATGATTAGTGTTGTCACCGAATGTCGGGTTATCATTATCGAGTTGACGTCGTTTCTTTCATTGTTTTGGTCGTTTTTTTAAAAAAGATTTTTTCGTTATACCATTAATAATCTTATGTTCTTTCCATTTGATATTGCGAGCTTTCCATAGTTGATCGTAAATATCATGATGTAAATCAAATAAAAACAAAATAAGTAATTTTTTGATTAACTTTTTGTGAATTTTTGCGTCTTTGAACGGAGATAAGAGACATTCCGGGACCAGATTAATCAGGAGGCAGTGCAATTCTGGCGCATCAAGAATCGAATTGATAGGAGAATTAAAGGAAGTGAATATAGGAATATCAAAATCGATATTTTTAATATTAATTTTTTCTTTATCCATATTGTTGATAATATTAGAACGAAATTTCTGTTCATGTTTTCTGAATATTTATTTCAAAATCTCTATCGACTTTGGGCAAATCCAAAAATGTTCATTAGATTCTATAGCTGAGGAGCATAAAAAGCATGAGTCATATCCATTAAGGATATCCGGGAAATTCCGGTTAAGAACGTCCAACGTAGGTAAAGCATAATTTGAACATTTGATACGCCATCCAACGTGCTTACTATACGATTCGCTTGTAGATTTTTGAAAGGGGTTGTGATTAATCCATAACTGTGAGTACTCCCAGTTGATGATATGAGTAAGTGTGAATGATTTGAGGGTTTGTAAAGGTTTGAGAGAAATTTGACGTTCGATGTTACGGAAATTAATCGGTATCTTTAATGTTTTCCTAATATTACGATCTATAATATTATCGTTGTTAAACATGACATAACCTTTTTGTGCCTTAACACCTTTTGGTGAGATTGAAATTATCCTATTAGAATCACATCCTTCTTTGGCTAATTTGTCGGCTTTATCGTTATATTCAACTCCTGAATGTGCCTTTACTTTTGTGAATCGTACCTGTAAATTTATCTCAGCTATAATTTGTTGAATAGCCTGCCAGAGAATAATGTTATTGATCTTTTGTTTTCGTCTTGGTGTTATTTTATAATTCGATAATGATGTAAAAGTATCGATCGTGCATTGACTATCTGTAAAAATATTAATTAAACTATTAGGCGGACAAACTATAAGGCATGTCAATACTGCCATAATTTCTGCTCTAGTAGAACTGGGCCATTGTATAGTTGCTCCCGAAAATTCTATATTTAAATTAATATTCGAAGTAAATACCCATCCAAAACCCATACGAGGATTATCATCATCAATTTTTAAAGAACCATCAGTATAGAATTCTAAATTAGTGAAAGAAGCTAAATTATTAATTAAAATATAAAATTCATTAAAAATATCATTAGGTAATAATAAACCATTTACTAATCTATGATTAACGTTAGAAGGAATGTATGAACAAGGGGTATTAGATTGTAAAGTAATAACTCTATTTCTAAATGAAGGTTCTGTTCTAATTTTAAAATCTCTAAAGGTGTCTGCACGTAATTCACTGTCAGACTTGTGTACTATAAAAATATTATTAAATTGATTATTATCTTTTTTTTATATATTAACATGTAAAGTGATTGTAAAATTAGATAAATAACTAATAATACATTTAGGACGAACGTCACCAACGTAAAATGAATCATGAAGATCACAACCAGTACAGGGCGTAAGTAAATTAGATCTGGAATGTGGGGTTAAATTATGGTTGGGATTAGACATATCAACAAAAGGGATATGATGTTCTAAATAAACCTTTGGTGAATCTCCAGGAAAATGTGATTTTTCCAATATTTTTCCATAAACTATACATGAAACTCGTGGCGACCAAAAAGCAGCCCATTGATTTTTACAAGGAATGCTATGATTATTACATTTAATTATCTTTGGTCTTGGAAATCCAAGGTCGGGTGACATGTTGTCAGGTTGTGTCGTGAACTGTAAACGATTTGTTGAAGGATTTAATACAATATTATCTTTGAGAAAATCATACCATTTAGGTCGGCGTCCTCTCTTGTTTTTTAATAATTTTTTGATTTCTTTCCAAGTTTTTAGAAAAGCACCATCATTACTAATTATTTGATCCAAAAAAAAGATATTTTTGTTTTTTAGTGACTTAACAAAACCTAAATATTTTTTGGGGTCGACAATAAAATAACTAATTGGATGTAAACCTCCAGTGACATTATATTTAAAATTTGTATTAAATGATAAATTGTAGAAATGAAAAATACACAATAGATTTTCTAAACGGTTAAAATGTTTAGAAGGTTTGTGAAAATATTTAGTTGTTTCACTTATATCATTTGTCCAAAGTTTACATTGTGATGTTAAAAATAGGAATTCTATGATTTTTAATGTGACTGGATTATTGATTTGTGCATTTAATAAGGATGCTTGGGAACGCAACTGTGAATCCCAAATTTTTAAAATATTGGGGTATATCGGGTTATGTACCACCGAATTAAAAAAGGATTTTGGTAATGATAAGGAGTGTTTAAAAATTGAACGTAAAATTCTATTGAATTCGTTACATTTGTTTGGTTCGATAAAGATGTGTTGCGTTAAATATTCAATCCTCGGTAATAGTACCTTATTAATAATGTACATCACGTGATCATGCGTGATTTTTTTCTTACGAAGTTTAAAACAAATATAATGTAACATTTTTTTGATTTTGTTGTACGTGAATGATGGTGAATTAGCTATATTGACGTGGATGCCTAAAATGCGTTCGTCTTTTCTCTTTGGAATAATTTCGATCTCAACGAGATCATTACCAAATTGTAAATTATATCTGTGGTTCGGTTCATTCAAGAGTTTTTCATCGTTGGTTAATAATTTTGTTTTTTCTTTGTTGATCTTGATATTCGCGAGCGAGTAGAAATCATCTGCTATTTTCAAATTTTCTTCTAAATTTTTAAGCGTATCAGAAAACCATGTAGTGTCATCTAAATAGCCTATTAATTTTATTTCAATATTTTCTTCGTGATAATCATCTAATCGGTGAATATTCATTGGTAAAGATGCTTTAAGATGATAACCAGAATGATGAGACGAATTGATTTTGGCGAACATTGGATCATAATATATTATCCATAAGAGTGGTGAAATTATTTCTCCTTGAATGATGCCCTGTTTTGTTTCATATGGATCTGAAAGAGTGTCCATTAAAATGATACGATTTTTGTGGCCTATAAATAAATTTTCTATAAATTTAATGAGATTAGAAGGAAAATTAATCCTTTTTAACGCCAAGGAAAGTAAAGGTAAATTTATTCTATCTTATGCCTTGCTGAGATCCTGTAGTAACAGATATAAAGGATTTCCATTTTGTTGTTGATCTTCAATTATAGTTTGAATATATAGGATTATCTCATTACATGATGCTCCTTGTACGCCAGCTTGATTATTATATTGAAGTATGTTATTAGTACTCAAATAATAATTAAGTCGAGAATTAATAATTTTGACCAGGAGTTTTCTGAAACAATCTAGTAATATTATAGGGCGTGTATGATTAATATCATAATTCCACCATGTGGGTTTGGGGATGGGTTACAAAAAAGCTAATTTTAATTGATCAGGAATTACTTCATTTATTAAAATATAATTGAAAAGAGATAATAGAATATTGAGAAGTTGTAATGGTAATTGTTTAATGATTTCATAAGAAATCTTATTAGGTCCAGCGGCTTTTGATGTTGGAAGATCTTTAATATCTGATTGTAACTCTTCCAAAGTAATCAAATCATTTAAACGTTTTTTAGCGTCATCAGGAATACCTGATATAGGTTCGTAAACAGAGCTCCATTCTTCTCTCAAGGGTATAGATGGGTCATATGCCAATGGTGACTTATCTACTTTACCTATATTACTATAATGATCAATAGCTATTGATTCAATTTCATCTTTATCTGTCGTAAAAGTAAGCGTGTCAGTATCGTCCTTAAAGACTAATCTATCTAATTTTATCTTTTCAGGAACACGATCAAGTATTGAAGTGAGCATACGTTTTTGGTTTGAACGTAAGTCATTATCCCTTCTATTTATAAATTTTTCTATCTTGTTACGTTGGAAATTACTGGTTTCTTCTTGTAATTGAGCATCTATATAATTTTTGATTTTTAATAATATTTTTAAAGACGCCTCGTAATGAGATGAAGTTAAATAAGGTGACCAAATAAAATTAGCTGCTGTAAGCTCGAGACTTAAAGGATCTATATTAGAACAAATTCTTTTCAATCGATTTAATTTTTTGTGTCCGTTCCAAAAGTTCATTGAGATGTAAATGTTAGAAGTTTGTGGTGTAAAATATCTATTTAAACTTCTAATTAAACGTGTAATATAATGTTGATCATTTTCTAATATCCTAATTTTGTACGACATTTCGTATTGATGATGATTATGTTTAATTATAGGAAAACCAATTGCGTTAATAGCTGATTGAATACTTTGTACTATATATTCAAAAGTAATATTGACATATTTTTGAGGGTTATTTGGTGTAGGGTTTCTGTTGGAACGTAATAAAAAATTATCCCAAACAAAATTTTTGAAATCTACCCATTGTGCTTTTGTAATTTTCTTATAATTATATCTTTCGTTGTGTGTTAAAGAGTTTTTTCTATTTAATTCAATAGAATCTGGTGTATTAGTAATAAAATTGATATTAGAAGGATTAAAAAATTTATGGTTTAAAGCAACCAAAATTAATCTATGATCAGTATGTATAGGAGCGTCTACTATTGAAGCTCAAATTGTATGAGAGATAAGATTGGGTGAAACAAAAATTATGTCTATATATGAAGTATGATTTGAAGTATTTTTAAAAGTATAAGAAGGTGTTTCATTATAAATTTTAACTATATCTTTATAAGTGTGGTGTCGTAAAGTAGTTAAAATTTTTTTATGATAAAATGCTAAGGTCACATGACCATCGCTGTTGTCTTCTGTATCATTTGTTGTCAACGTTGTATTGGGTTTATGAGGATTGATATTAAAATCACCCATAATAATATTTTTTTTGTATTGATTTTTTGAATTCAAATGTGTTTTGAGATATAGATTGATTGATTTTAATGTTTCAGTATTATTTTTTGATGACGTAATTGGCGGTAAATAAATACCTAAGACGTGTAATTGTTCATGTCTTTTGAAAAAAAAGGTAATATGTATAAGCCTATAAGGCGTCCAGGGATATGTTCAATCTTTTGAATACGTTGATATAATAATGAGGATATAATAAATGATACACCACTGGCTGATTGTGTGGGTGAAGGATTATGAATGATATAGAAAGTTATATTTTTGTTATTTTGTATATATTTAAATGATGTTGCTTTAAGGCGTATTGTAGGAATATTTTTGGGGTCTTTTAAATGAGTTTCAGTTAAAAGTAAACAATGGATATTTGAATCAATCATGTATGTGATTAAGTCATGTTTTTTGTTTGTTTCAAAACCTCCTTGTAGGTTTATAGTCGCTAAATTAATTGAAGAAGATGAATTAAAATTTGAATATACCGGAAAATCCCCATTAAACCCTGTCCTCGTATGATCTCTTTTTTTGTTTGTTTTATCAGTGTTATTATAATTTTTTTTTTTGTTTTTTTGTTTTTTTTTATTATTAAATGAAGAAGTAGTAAAAGAAAAGTTATTGATTGGGTTTAGAGGCCGATCGGTATCTTATAAATTTGTGTCCATCATTAGTACACCCTGATAGTTTGAGAGATATTACTCGTTATGTGGTAGATATTAATCTACTATTGTTGCCTATGGCCTAAGCCAAGCATATTACCAAATTTGTTACTAATGGAAGAAGTAATAGTGGGGTAACCACCTGTAGGTCTTGAGGGCGTATAGTCTGTGTCTGGGAATACATTATGAGTTTCAACTGTGCTAGATGATTCGTATCCGCTCTGTGAATCATTATATTCTTCTTGCAGGTGTTCTTCAGTGACGAATTCATCATGAGGAGGATAACTGTAGTTATTTGATCCATACGCTTGGTTGTTGTCGTTAAATTGTGAGAAGAATCCATTTTGTTCCAAGTTTTCAAGGAAGGATACTATTTTTGGTACACCACTAATTGTAGCGGCTTGTTTATTCATGTTTTCATTGATCTTTGTTAAATGTTGATTGAGTTTTTCCATATTGTTCGCATGTCGCGTTTCTTGTTCCTTCAAAAATATAATGTCTTTTTTATGTTGTTTATCTGTGATTTTTAAGCCCGTTATTTCTGAGCTGAGATCTTTAATAATTGTTTCTAAATGAACAATTCTATTAAGCAGTTCATCGTTGTTAGAGTTGTCTGTTGCCCTTTGTTTACCTTTGATTGTGGGTTTGTTGGTGTTACTGTTATTTGGATTAACATCCCAGTTATTCATGTCTTTATCTGGTATGATCGTGGAATGAGATTCGGGGCCACGATTATAGCGTTTGTCACGAGGAGCAAAGGTAGAATTATTAGGTGTTTTAGTTTGGTAACCCTGGTTAGGTGATGGTCTTGTATTATGACGACCATGTAGATTAGGACGGTTACGTTGTGAGGACATTAAAGGTTTGATTTGATCGTAAGATAATTTAACATTATCATTAAGAGTATAGGCGTTTTGTCTTTTTAAGAATTTTTTCCTATATTTTCTTTCTTTGTTATGTGGGATAATTGTGTAATCTGTTTCGCTACAATCATATACGTTGTGATTTTCCTTTCCACAAAAGCCACATGTGTCATTTAGATTAAATTTCTGGGCAGGGTAAATATGTAATTGGAATCCTTGAAAGTTTGTTTCGAATTTTGTAAATTGTACATGATTATCATCATCAGTATTACAATATATGTTAGCTACTTTGTGTAGTGAAACTGGTTTAGTAGGGAGAAATTCGATGGATCGTGCGTTTAGATGATCTGTTAAAGGAATTAGATCCAATATATTAGCATTGAGGGGGATTCCTGTAACTACATACGTAGGAGTAGTCCTATTTTTAAAATTATGTTTTTGTTCGTCTATGGGTACTATTCTGATGAGGAAATTTTCTATTAGAATGCCCCATTTGTGTTGTGATAATAAGTATTCTACTGCATTTGGTTTGTTGAATGTAAGCGTGACTTTTTTGTATGTAGGCGATCTTCGATTGAATTTTATTCTAGATGGTAAATTTCGATTGGTAGTACGCCTATTGGGGATGAATTCTTTATAACTATCGATGGCGCTGCTGGTGAAGTTGGCTATGTGTTTGATTAAAAGATTTATATCATAGTTGATAGGTACGTTTAATAAATTGACTGAGCGTGCCCTTAAATTGCTGATATCATAATTAATCAGGTTGTCTATAGCTTCACGAGAATAAATTTTTGGCGCAGTATTGTTTAACAATGCTACTGGTTTTTCTTTTAGTTTGTTTAACGTTATTTCTGTACCAATAAGAATAGTGTAGAATTCTATGGTGGCTTTTTTGTTGGTTTTGTATTCAATTATTTCATTTTCCATTAAAAATGCATTTTTTAGGTCATTGATAATTTCGTTGTTAGATTTTTCTTTATCAAATTGGTCTCTCGTGAAAAATAATATATATTGACTATCTGAACGTGAGTTATATTCCTTAAAAATTTCTAAGTTATGTGAATTTACATCATTGTTTGTATCAGATGTAATTTGTGTATCTGCAGATCCTTGTGTAATTCCTTTATTTGAATTATTTTCTGGTAGATCTGTGTCCATTGCATCTTGGCTAGTGATGATTGGTGCTTGTGAACTACTTGAGGATGTGTCACGTGACCTAGCGTCAGGTTCAGAAGAAATTGGTTGTTCCATTTCGTTTTTGTCGTCTATATTCATATTATTGTCGTTGTTATTTGGAGATGAGGGTGAAGAAAAATCTTCAGTTTTTTTCAACTTTTTCGTTGCCTGAGTTGAAGGTGAAGCTTTTTCATTAGCTTTATAAGTTTCTGCGACCATTTCTTCGTCTGATAGATTAGAATGGTTCTCAAATTGTGTCTTTTGATTTTGTCTTTTAGTACTTTTGGAGCGAGTATTTTCTGCCATATTGTTATATGCTTTTCACGTCGGAGAGGTCAAAAATTCAATAAAATTTATATGTTTATTTACTGGAAAAATATTTTTCTATGTGAAGTTCGTTAGTTGTATTTTGGTTAAAGGATCGACCATTTTTGGAAGTATGTAACTTAATTAGGAACTCAAGATCAACACCGTATTTAAATCACGTGATGCACGTGATATGAAACTACCTACAATCAAATCATATTTCATACCGTCTTTAATACCATTAATTTACTTACAATAAATAACGACACAGGAATATATTCAAAATTCGATTTTTTTTGCAGAATCCTGACAGAGATTTTACTACAAAATTCGATAAACTAATAAACATGAATATAAAGTAACTTTAGCATCAAAAATTCCAATAAAGGCAATAGGTAAGAAGTGGTGGTGTCAACCGATAGCTGATCAGCTAATGTTACATAGTGATTTGACAATTATCCGATCCGGTATACAAATTGAAACTGTTAAGCGTAAAGTGGTCGTGGCAAAAACCTATTTTTTTCACCTGTATAGTTATTTTTAAATTGTATTATATTAATTGAGTATGTCTTAACTAAAACAAAATTAAGGGCTAATAAATATTATTTAAAATATATATATATATATATATTTTAATAAACTTTGTATGCTTTCTTCCTATTTTTAAAAATATGTATTAATTTATTTAATTATACAATATAGGAACTTTTAATATTATAAACTTATTATCGTTATCTAGTTTTGAAAGTTGGTATATAAGGAAAAGTTTTATGATAGATATTATACCAATATTTGATTTGAATAATTAAATTGCTGTCGGTCATGTGTACGTTCTGATGGCCAATCTGAGAGATTTTTTAATCAGATATTTATTTAACGAAAAAAAGCTTAATTTATCTTCTCATTTTTGGCCATTCCTATCCTAGATATCCGAACATTGATTAAAATTTTTTTTTTCAGACTCTTTTTTTTTAGATTGGATCATTTCTTTTTAATAATATTTTTTTTTTCAGTCTTTTTTAGACCAGATCTTTTTTTTAATAATAATATTTTTTCGTTCTCTTTTTTTGAACCGGATTTTTTTTAATAATAATATTTTTTTTTCTTTTAGACCGGATCTTTTTAAAATATTTTATCAAAAAAAGATTATACTTTTTTTTTTAAAAAAAAAAAATCATGACAATTTCATATAGCATTGTTTGTTACAAAGTTCACTTACGATATTAGGACGCTAATTCGGACAAAAAATTTTTTATAGAAATCTAACAAAAACATTTTTACTCAGAACACTGATCATAAACTTGGTTAATTAATGCAAATGTAACTTACCAAAACAATAAAATTTCTATGTAACCTTTTTTTGTGTATCATCAGATTTTTTCTCCTTCTCATCCGATTCTCTGATTTAGCCTTTTCTGAAACCAGTTATAATCTTTTGGTGTAAATAGCTCTTTTATATAGTACATTCATATTTATGGTTTATTATATTCACAAAAACAAGAAATTTAAACCTAAGGAATTGTATGTGTCATTGTATTACTACGCTTGTGATATGTCGTAGAGGTCCTAACTAGATGAGTTAAATATTTATAATAGTCTCTTTTCTTGATAACTACAATTATTTTAATTTAAGTTTTTATTCTATGATGGATTTGCTTCCACGTTCATCTAATCATCTTATTTCTTTCCAACATCATATGGTCTTAGACGGATTAAACTTAATCCGAATTCCGTTTAGTGGCATTGAATCTTACATAAGAAATTTCTGGAAATTATCGAAAATGTTCCACTTTTACCACATCAGCAAATTTTTGAATAGGAATATTATTATTTTATTTATTTTTATTTATTTATTTATTTATTTTTTTTGAAAAAAAAAACCTATTTATAGAAGGCCTGTCTCTTATACACATCTAGATGTGTATAAGAGACAGATATAATGTCCCGTAATTAAATTATGTTTAATAAACTCAATTAAACGTAAATATGTTAAAAGTTATCATAAACTGTTGATTTTGAATATACTGTGAATTGCACAGCACTTCAATGTTCTACAATTATAGTGATCTCAATTGCAAGATCTTGTTTCATTTTCCTTCACTTCACTTCTTTTCTACTCAAGTTCAGTATCATTATTGTTTGAAGAATAAATTATGAATCATTTTGTTTCACTTTAATAACTTAACCAGAAATATATTTGGGCATGATGATTCAAATACATTTTACAATTTATCGTACAGGAAGAATTCAGAAAATAATAAATATTCTAAAAAAAATTTTTTACATAAACAATTGAAATAAAAAGGTTTTAAAAAAAAGTCTTATTATCCTATTTATAAATAATAACAACTTTAATAGCGAGTTCTTCTTAAACTGATTGGAGCGTTAAAGTTTAAAGTTTATAAAGCATTCCTAATAGCTAAAGAACGAATAAAATAATTACACTTGTGGGAGTTAAAAAGGGCGAAAATCCTAAATGATCGACATCCATATAAAGGTCTTTGTTTGCGCCATTCCTCGTGACTGTCGATAGTTACCAATTTAGAATATAACATTAACCTTGTTTAGTCAAGCGGTTTTGTAAAACCGTAAATATTCTTATTTTAAAGATGTGGGCTTTATTTTGTAACGTAATTACTAATTAGGTGATTATCACAAAGCTAACGGATTTACCCTTCGATAAAGTTCTTCCAAATGACATACGAACTTTCTGAAATTCCATGCATATTGGTAAAAAAATTCTTAGAAATACGTTTTAGAAAGTTCTTTCTTTTAAATTTCCGAAATAATGAATCATCGAAAAAAACTATATATATATTGTAAAAATTTCTAATTATTCATCAGTATTTACTTATATATAATATTATAAAATGGAGCTTACAAATGATGATTCTTTTGATCCGACGCCAAAATTAAAATCTAGTCCTGTCCCGATTTCATTTATTTCATTCAATATCAATGATAAAAATTGTATTCGTTGCGATGATATATATACTGTGACATCATATACTGGGACATTACAACAAGATCGACAAAAATACTGCAAAAAATGTTTATCGGGTTACCTTACTAATATAACTGATAAAAATATATATTTGGATGTGTATATATTTACAAGGAACTTAGAATGTAATGAACATGAAATAAGTAGGACAAAAGAACCACAAAATATTCAAGAATGCTGTAGAAATTGCTTAGAAATATTATGCTTTAAACAAATGCCCAATTATCGTTATAAAAATTTAAATATTGTAAAAAAGAATAATAATTTAATCAATAATTTGATTATTAGTGAAAAAAATTGTAAATTATGTGGAAAGGCATTCCATAAAACAAATGACAATTTTACATTATGTTCAGATTGTTATCTAATTTCTTCCGAATATATAGAATTAACTTTGACTAAAAAATCTATACCAATTATTTATTTACCATGGTGGTATAATTTACCTAATTGTGGAGCTTGTTATTCAAAATTAAAATTTACATCAGACTGTCAAAAGTATTGTGAAAATTGTCTTATATTTTATACCGGATGTAGATATTGTTTAACAACAAATGTTATTTTTGGCGTTACAAATCAATCAAAATGTAAAAAGTGTAAAAGAGTATCATCAATAATTTTTGATATAGAAAAATTTAGAAGCGGAAATAGCGATTTAGATGATTTTCTTGTTAATTTAAGACTTGAAATTCACAATCGATTGGAAATAACTACATTTACTGAAAAAATAAAAAATATTGACAGTTACTTTAACCCAAATACATTATTTAGTTCTATTTATGGTATTTTTAATGATATTAAAGCAGAAATTTTGATGGAATGGATACCATATTCTCAATTTACAAATGTAAAAGAAATAGCAAAGGGAGGATTTGGTATTATATATCAAGCGACTTGGTTAGATGGTTCAATAGATAATGAAGAAGTTCGTATTGGAAGGGAAAGAAGAAATAATGAAACTGTCATATTAAAAAAGTTTAATAATTCTCAAGGAATTAGTAAATATTTTTTAAATGAGGTAAATATAGTAAATTGTATTTAAATTATTTACTATGATTACAAAGTAAATAGTTTGTTTTTAACCTTTTTAATCTTAAAATTTATAGTTAAAATCAAATCAATATTGCTATCAAGTTAAACATCATATTATTAGAACGTATGGCTTTACAAAAGATCCTAAATTTGGTGATTATATCTTAGTTATGCAATATGCATCAGAAGGAGATTTACATAATATTTTACGAAAGAAATTTACAGAAATTACATGGGATAAACAAAAATTAGCTATTTTATGGCAAATTTCAGAAGGGTATTTATATTAGTATTTTTATTGTATTTATTTACAATAATTTCTAATATATTGATTAATTTTTTTATTTTAGACTTGAAACTATTCATAAATCAGAATTTATACATCGAGATTTTCATAGTGGAAACATATTATCCAATTTATCAAATGGAAAAAGACATCAATGGCAAATTGGAGATCTAGGATTATCACAATCTGTAAATAATGCACAATCAAACAACGAAATATATGGAGTGATACCATATGTTGCACCAGAAATATTTAAAGGTTCTGCATTTTCTAAAGAATCTGATATTTATTGCATGGGTATGATTATGTGGGAACTTACGACGGGTTGTAAACCTTTTTCTAATGTTGGGCATGATATTAATCTGATTTATAAAATTCTTGATGGAGACCGTCCTGAAATTACAGAAGATACGCCTGAATGTTACGCAGAATTAATGAAAAGATGTTGGCATTCTGATCCCACAAAAAGACCACTTATAACGGAAATTCGTAAAACTTTTGGTCAATGGTTTTTTACAAATAAAAGTATAGGAATATTCAAACAAGCTGAAACAAAAAGAAAAGAGTTAATAAAATCGAAGAAACTTGGTCCTGAGTTTAATGGAAAAACTCATCCAAGTGCTATATATACAAGCAGATCATTAAGACCTTTTATTTCCAGTTGTTCATCAATTTTTTCAAAAGGTATGCAATAATAGGTAAAATAAATGTGATTAAGTCCTTGGATTAATATATCAAATTTTTTTTTATAGATTATAATTCGATAGAACTAGAGCTTGACATAGATATTAAAAGGTATTTAAGGTTTAAAATTTTTAGTCCATTATTATATAACTTAAATTCAAATAATTTGAATATTATTAGCTCAAACATACTCGGAACAAAGCGGAATATTGAAGAATTAGAAATCAATTCTTATGGAAATAGTGGTATATATTAATTTGACTAATTGTTATCAATATTGAGTTTATATTTATTTAATTCTTATACATTTTTAATTTAAAAAAAAATAAAAAAATAGGAAAGCACATTAAAAATTAAATCCACTTAATAAAAGGTTTCTCTCACAGACCGTTAAGTGTAAACGATAATGATGAGATATGAACCTGGGGAAAAAATCCGAGAATAAATATTCTTCGTATATAATTTTATTTCTTTTTTTTTTGCATTTTTAATGTACGCTATGCGATAAGAGATATCATTAAATGTGTATAACGATAATTGGATATTAATATTACTTACAAAGCATAAAAATATGGTGTATTAAATATTTATTTTTATTTTTAATAAACTTTAGTCAAGTACGAAGCTGAAACACTTTTTGCTTCAGATTCACGGTATTTTAATGAACTTTTATCATAAAATCAAAATTCTTAATAACGTGGCGCAAACATTATGCGCTACATTTTTGACGCAGCAAGACCATTTTGTTGAGTCACGTGTTCTAACGTTTATATTGCGTGATGATCACGCAGCGTTAATAATTCTTGAATCAGTTGAATACTCTACCCAAGAAAATTTATAACGATTTATTAAATAATAAAGTACTATTACATCATCGATTGTCTATTAACTGAACGTGAGAAATTTTTAACAATTAAATCATGTGATATTATTTATTCTGTTTTTTTTAGTCGAACGCTCAAACATTGTTAACCAAAATACAATCTATTTTATTATACACTCAAATTGTTATGAAAGAAATAAAAAATTTAATCTTTAAATTACAATAAACTTTTTAACAAATTATATAGAAATTTTATACATATATTATGTATAATTCATTAATCCTATAAAATATTCGTTATTCTTATTATAATACATTGTACCTTACATATGAATAAAATAATGAAATTAAAGTATTAATGGGCAAGAAAAGTAACCTTTTAGTGCTTCCAAATTATTACCAAAGACTTTATTTAAAATCACATCCGGTACTGCAAATTTATCCATCCAACTTTTATATTCCTTAATCATATTTTTACCACATTCCCCACAATAACCCACCAATTCCATAGGAATTTGAATACGAGTTCCATCTTTCTTATAAACGTATTGTTGATCATATGAAAATTGTACATTTCCTTCAGGAATTTCTTGTTTTAACCAATCAACTAATGGTTTAATAGCTTCAATACCGCATAATTCTAAAATTATATTAAATTTTTTAAATAAATAATTGTCGTAAAATAATAATACTTTTTTTTTTTTTTAAAAAAAAAAAAAAAAATTATTAAATTG